GCTGCCCCCTGTCACTCACAGAGCAGGGCCGATCAGGGGGTTGGTGTGCTGCACCCTGTCAAACACAGAGCCGCAGGGCAATCAGGGGATTGGGGAGCTCCCCCCTATCAGGCACAGAGCAGGGCAGATCAGGGGGTTGGGGTGCCTTCCCCTGTCACGAACAGAGCAGGGCGGATAGGGAGGTTGTGGCCCCGCCCCCTGTCACACACAGAGCTGCAGGGCGATCAGGGGGTTTGGGCGCTGCCCCCTGTCACGCTGATCCCGGTGCTGGGAGGCATATTAACCTTTTACTATATAGGATAGAGGCCTGGGGGCCGGCTGGTTTGCCCTGAAGGGTGTCCTGGATCAGGGTGGGGGTCCCCAGTGGGGTGCCTGGCCAGCCTGGATGAGGGGATGATGGCTGTTTGCAGCTGGTCACACACCCTTCAGGTTTACATTCATCAGAACAAACTGATGAATGTAATAGAATCACGGGCATGGAAAGGGAGCAGACTGACAATTTCGGGAGGAAGGGGTTGTGTGGGTTGCAGGAAGAGACTGGACAAAGAGCTTAGACCTATAGATGAAGTCAGTGTGGGGTGAGGGGGAAGGCCTGGAGAAGGGTGGGAACCAGGTGGAGGGGAGCTATGGGGGGAAAAAAGAGGAACATCTGTAATAATATGAACAATAAAAATTTAAAGGTTAAACAAAAAAGAAACAAAGAGAGAGGACCAAAATAAGTAAAACCAGAAAAGTGGAGAAGTAACCAACGACACCACAGAAATACAAAGGATTGTAAGAAAATACTATGAACAACTATATGCCAACAAGCTGGACAATGTGGATGAAATGGACAAATTCCTAGAAAAATACAATCTCCTAAAACTAAATTAAAAGGAATCAGAAAACCTGAAGAGGCCAATAACAACTGATGAAATAGAAGCAGTAATAAAAAACTCACAACAGCCCTAACCGGTTTGGCTCAGTGGATAGAGCATGGGCCAGTGGACTGAAGGGTCCCAGGTTCGATTCCAGTCAAGGGCATATACCATGATTTTGGGCACATCCCCAGTAGGG